CTTCTGTGTCTCTAACAACCCACAGACATTCTCATCTTCATAACATCAGAGAAAACAGCTCATCCAATCAACAGCAATGCTTTATCCCAACTGATACAATCAGCAACACATTGAGATCAAGCACAACTTGGACACTGACCACCTGTGGTAGTCACTAGTCTATCACCCTTAAATCATTTGAATTAAATTCAAATCAAGAAGCAGTCCAGAACATGTCTGTGCAGACATTCTTTAATGACTGGGTTACTATTCTGCAACTAGGTCATTAAATGAATTGGTTGCTAAATGAGGGATTGTATATATTACATTACAGTATTGAGAGCAAAGAAATGGTTAAAGGAAACCAACATTGATGGCTATGCTTTTGTGTAACTCTTACATGCAGTACTTTGATATAAAACTATAGAACAATCAGCAAAATTTACAAAACAGTATTGTATTATATTAAATAAAAGACATTGAGGCTCTATAAACCAGAGATACAAAATTGTTTTTTAAGAAAAAGACTGCTGGGCATGTTGGTGTGCCCCTATAATCCCAGCAGTCAGGAGGCTGAGGCAGGGGGATTGATGTGAGTTCCAGGACAGCCTGAACTCCCTAATGGGATCAAGGCCAGCCTGACTCAGAAAAATAAAAGATAGATCATCTGAACAGCAGGCCTCAGGCCGTGGTTGAAAGTCCATGCAGTTGTTAAACAGGTAGGCCATTAAATGAGGAGTTCTGTAGCAACAAATAATAGAGTCAAAGACAGACTGAATGTTAACACACTGTACGAACCAATAAGAGCTCCCCTTAACCATAGAAAAGAGATCTGTAATTATAATGTAGACAGAAGGACAAAGCAAATATTGACATGCAGTAAATATGTACTAAATGCAACTATGCTATCATTAACAACAGAAAAGAATTTAGTCTTAGCATAAGAGTTTACTAAATATCTAAAGATTATTAAAGCTTAATGATTACACTGGAGGAAGAGAGGGCGGGATTGGGAGAATGAGAGAATTAAAATTTGAAAAATAAGGGAAAATGAATTGGAGGAAAACAGATAAAGTTAGGATCCTGTTGAGGAGGAAAAGAAAATGAATAAAACTAGACATAAGTATCAGTGAACAAAAAATTAAGGAACAAAAGTAAAATTTTTAAAATGAAAAATAGAATGAAAGAGAAGGAAAAAAGGGCACAACCTCCTCAAACAAACCAATGATGAAGACCAGTAGTGAATCCAAAAACAACCCTCAGTGTTTTTCAGCAAGTGTCTTCTTTCCAGGGTCTGCCTGTTTTGTTTTTACATTCGCATTTTTGTGTGTAGATGCTGAATCCCATCACACCCTTTTTCTGGGGCTGGTTGGCCAATGGTGTGCTGTCAGTCTGGCAGTTTGTGTCCCTTGGTGTATCCTAGATGGACTTTCCCCACATGGCTTTACAGTTTGAGGGTTTGTGTGGTGTGCCGCCCACCCCTTCTGGAGGCCCTGGCCTGCGGCAGCTTTCCAAGCTGAGGTACATCTTGTTGGTGTTGGTAGAAAGGACCCGCTGTATTTTGTGCTGGAGGTAGGCAGTGGGGTAGTGGTTTGAGTACACTGATGGATTTAATGCCAGCACTTTCAGATTCCACCCCCTCTGCACTCAGCACACAGCTGACTAAGCTGCTTGCCAAGGATGGTAGGACCCCTGTTATCCTTTGAGTCCTGAAACTTCTTGGGGTGGTGGTGGAGTGGTCCTGTGTCTAGCCCTTGCCTTCTCTGCTACTGTCTCGTCATGTTCCACCCAGTCACTGTGATGAGGTGACCCCAGAAACCCTAATCTATCATTCCCTGTAGCTCAAACAATTGACTCCATCCCAAAATGGCTCCTGATTTAAACCCTCTCAGTTATGGTGGGTTCCTCCCCTCCCCCATACTCAGGTCCTTGCACTTGGCAGGTGGCAGAACCACTAAATTAAATCCCTGGCCTGTATTGGATTTCTTTCCAACTGTAGCCTGCCATGTGGAAGGAGTCACTTTTAGAATAAAAACCCATGCTGTTTTTGCTTGCAGTAACTGTGGGCTTTCTTAGGGCTAACACTGCTGGCTGTTGTCTCCCTGGATTTGCTGATCCTTCCCCAGGAGCTGGAGTGAGCTTTCCAGACTACTTCCTCCTTTTCTCCATGCTGTGCTCCATTTCTCCAGCTTCTCTGTAGTTTCTTGTTTTCTTCTCAGCTGCTTCCCAATTGCAAGAGATCTGCTGTTTTCCTTCACCCGGTTGTTTTCCAGGTGTCTTGATTCCAGGTCTTATGTTTTGCTGCCAGTCTGTACTTTGCCATTTATAATCTCCACTTCTGTACTTTTTGAGTCATGATTGCCTCGTAGAATTTAGAGTGTTAGCGTATTAGTTCTGTTTGTGTTTTGGCTGCACTGGGGATTGAACTCAGGGCCTTGCAGTGAGCTGCATCCTACATCCCCATCTCTTTTTTACTAACTTTGAGACAGGGTCTCACTAATTGGGGGATTACAGATGTGGATTTACTTAGAATCCTCGAAGCCTCTGAAGTTCATCCATAGGTTCCAAGTTAAAAATGCTTCTTCTTTTCAACTCTTAGCACTTTGCATAGTAGTAGTAGGAGCACTTGGTGTATTGATAACGATATTTGAATATTTGCCAAATTGCCTTTGTTTTGGCAGTAACCTAAATTAGGAGGTCCTAAGTGTAGAAAGACCATGTAGAATTCCTAAAATAAGGAGTTTTTAAAAATAATGCTTTGTATCATTTGTTTTCTAAGCTTGTGGTTCTGCAAAAGTGTCTCGTACATACAAAGAAGTACCCCCCAACCTCACTTTCTTCGCTTCCTCTCAGACATTTGTTTCCTTCATGGTACCCTTATTGAATCCAGGTCCTGTGCATGTTATACAGCCACTGGGCTACATCCCTAGACTTTGAAGATTTTATTTTGAGACAGGGTCTTTCTAAATTTCCCAGACTGGCCTAGAATTTGCAATCCTACTTTATCCTGTGGAAGACCTGGGATTACAGATATGCCCCAACACTCCTGCCTGCAGCTACATGATTTTAGGTCATGAGCACAGATCATAATAGGTCATTTGGGCCCTTAGATGTACAGTCCAGTTGCATTAAGTGCGTTCTGCTGTTAATACAACCATCACCACTGTCCTTCTCTAAAGCTTTTTCAACTTCCTGAACTGAACCTCAGAATCTATTAAATAGTAACTTTATTTCTTCCTTTCTCTTAGCCTCTGGCAGCCACCATTTTATTTTCTGTCTATTTGACTATTCTAGGTACCTTGTACAATGAAGTCACGCAGTGTTTGTTCTTTTGTGACCAACTTATATCCTTTACCATGAAGTCTTCAAGGTTCATCTGTATTGTAACATATCAGAATTTCCTTCCTTAAGGCTGAATAATATTCTATATCTTTTGTTATCTATTCATCTTTGTGCACTTGGATTGTTTCTACCCTTTCATGGTGATGAATATGTTGCAGTAAACATTGGTGTGCCCATATATATGTCCTTGCTTTAAATTCTTTATATACCTCGAAGTAGAATTGTTGGATCATTTGGTAATTTCTTGTTTAAGTTTTTGAGGAACTGCCAAACTATTTCCTACAGTTTTGCCACTCTGTGTTCCCCACCAGTGATTCACATGGATTTTAATTTTTTCATATTCCTGCCAACACATCTTTTTAATAGTGTTTTCTGTTTCTTTTAATGGCCATACTTATGAGTGTGACATGGTATCTCATAGTGGTTTTGATTTCCATTTCCCTAATGATTAGTGATATAAAATAGCTTTTTGTGTATTTGTTGTTCATTGTTAAATCTTTGTAAAAATGTCAAGGTCTGTTTGCTCATTTTTTTTATTTTTTGGTTGTGTTTGAGGAGTTCTTTTGATATTGTAGATATTAATCCCTTAAGTATTATTTACAAACACTTCTACTTCATAAGTTACCTTTTTACTTTATTGATAGCATAGTTTGTTGCACAGATCTTAAACTTTAATGAAGTTAAATTTTTTTTTTTCAGTTATTGGCTTTTTTTTTTAAATGGGATCTCACTGTGTATTGGAGGCTAACTTTGAACTTGCTATAAAGCTCAGGTTGGCCTTGAATTCACCATCCTTCTGCCTCAGCTTCTAAAGTGCTGGGTGAGACAGTAGGCATGCAGTACTGCACTTGCCTCATTTTCTGTCTTTGCTTTTGGTGTCATGCAGGAGGTCATTGCCAAAGTCAGTGTCATGAACAACCCCCCCCCCACTTTTTCCCCCCAAAGTATTATAATTTTAGGCCATTTTTAGCTAAGTTTTGTACATGGAGTAAAGGTCCACTTGGGGGGGGCATATAAAGAGCTGTTTTTTTCAGTGTGATTTGTTGAAATGACTGGCTTTTCCTCCTTGACTGAATGTTAACACCTTTGCTGAAGATCTCTTGACCATATATATATATATGGGAGGGTGTCTTTCTGCTCTCTCAGTTCCTTTGATCTGTCTGCGTCATCGTACCAGTACCGTAACATTTTGGTTTGCAGTTGTGACTTTCCTATCTTTGGATTTTGTGTTGGCAGCGAGACTCAAGTCCTTGGAGAGGCTTAGCATGTGCTTGGCCACTAAGCTGCATTCCCCAGCCCTGTAATTTTTAAAACTATTTTAATTAAGGGTTTTATAGGGGAGTACACATTATAAAATCCAAAATCATGAATCTTCTTGGATTTATATATGCATAAGGGATTTTATTTTTATACCTTTTGTGTATATTTTCTTTTTGGTCAGAATATATCTAGAAATGGTCTCCTCTAAGGGGGGAAATCATACATATTTGGTATGGAATTTACTTAGGAATTGTACCTCTCACTGGGTGGTTTAAAAATTTGAGTAGACTTTTTAGCAGGTTCTGGTTTTAGGGTAATTGCTTTTTAAAAACTTTTCAAGTATAGAAATGACATTAAATTGAGACAGTCATATTTAGAGAATGTTAAGCTGTAATAAATAAAATTCTATTCCATTTTAGCACGCCAATGAAGATGTGGAAAGAATGCTGCTAGGAAACAAATGTGATATGGATGATAAAAGAGTTGTACCTAAAGGAAAAGGAGAACAGGTAAAAATTTTAAATGAAACCCTCCCCCGCAACCCCTGTACTGGGGATAAAATTGAGGATCTTGTGCTTGTGAGGCAAACGGCAGAACCACTGAGCTAAATCCCCAGCTTCTGTACCCCCTTTATATGAAGACCTGCTGTCATCTGATTGTTTTGATAGTAGTAGTGATGGAGTGAGTACACTGGCATTGTCACATAGTTTTTTAAATGCTTGTTGGAAACAATTTATCGTGAGTGAATATTTTTCAGAGCAAATCCAACATATACAGGAGCACTGTATTAGTCAGCTTTCCTGTCACTGGATGCAATACCAGACACATGTTAACTTAAAGGAGGAGTGGTTCAATTTGGCTCATATTTTAGGGAATTCAGTCCATCGTCACCTGGCTTATGACAGAAAGGTATGGTAGAGCAAGATGTTTAGTCTTGGAGACCAGAAACAGATCAGGGGAACAACAGTACCAGAGAGCAGTGGCCAAGGGACCACATAGTAGTACCCAAAGCCATGCTTTTGACCCATTCAGAACATATCCAGGAGCATGCTGTACTTTCTAATCTAGTGAAATTGACATTTCAGGGTCAGTGGTTATAAGAACCAAAACTGTAGCAGTAGTATTTTTAGTTATATTTAAGCTACAGAGCGGGAATATAAAAATCAGTGATTCTAGTGGTGTTTAGATTCTTTGGGACAAGGTCTCGCTATGTATTCCCAGCCAGCCTTGAACTTGCTGTGTTGCCCAAATTGGCCTTGAACTCATCTTCCTGCTGCAGTTTTCCTAGTGCTAAGGCTATGGACCTACACTGCCACATCCAGCTGTTTTTTGTTTGTTTTTTTTTTAAATCTTAGGATTTTAAAAAAACACATCAAGTAGTAACAGTTGATAATTGGAAGCCTGGGTCAAGCAGAAATTAGATAAATCACATTGCACTTCTAATTTTAAGTTTGCCCCTAGATTAAAATGTCTAGTTTAGAATATCTGAAATAAATTTAGTATTTCCTCTAAGTTGTTACAGTCAATAATTGGCAAACCCATATTTGATAATTTTATGTTATTTTGCTTGTTTTAGATTGCAAGAGAGCATGGTATTAGATTTTTTGAGACTAGTGCAAAAGCAAATATAAACATTGAAAAGGCGTTCCTCACATTAGCTGAAGATATCCTTCGAAAGGTAAGTTCCTGTCTTTCCTTTGTGTTGAGTACCTCAGTTGAATATTTTATCTCTGAAACATTGAATTTATATAAATTTTGGGTTTGGGTTGTGGTGGTCCTAAAAGATTACTCATTACTAATGTCTGATCGTGCAGCGTGAAGTGAGGAACTTCTAGCTAGATTGCTAGAAGTAGTAGCAGTAGTAGGAGTGGTTTTCTGAACTCCCAGTCACTCTCTGGTATTCCCCGATTCTATGTTCCTGTTTCCAATTTCATTGCCGCTTTCCACTTCCCCTACACCAGGATCAAACCCTCACTTTGCTAGGCAAGTGCACTCCCCATGAGCTGTACTCATGGACCTACTTCTCTAAGTGTCCTTTGCATTCCCGTGGTAATATATAATAAAAAATCCATTTGTTACTGATACTGCAGAAAATCTCTGTCCTTCCGTAGTCATGTCTCAGGTAGATAGAGCAAGGGCATTATATACTGAATAAATGGATTTGATCTTCCAGTGTTAGTTTTTTTTAATTGTGTTATCAGTCATTTGTGAATAGTGTCATGAAGACCTTGAAACAGGACTTCCTTATTACTATATAAAGTTTAAAGTATGGATGTGCTAGTGAATCACAGTTTCATTCTAAATTCTTTCCCAGGTAAGCAGGCCCATGAAGGATATACTGTAGTGTGTTTTATTTTATACACATATATTTTGATGTGATAAAGTTACAGATTTTAAAGCATTAAACATACTTGCTTCACATTAGAATTAATTTTAAAATGAAAGCAATTTAAAACATTTTAAAAGCTTAATTATTTAGTAAGTAATTATGCTTAAAGATTCAAACATTTAAAATGGAAGAAGTACAGAGAAGTTTCCTACGTCATTGCCTTAATGCTGTCAGTTGGTGTTTCCTCATCCCTCTCCCACAGTAACAAATGTGAAGAATTTTTTATTACTATGAGTAAGTAGAAATATATATTCTTACTCTCCCCTGCCTTTTCATGAATAGCATACATTTTTATACTTGGTGTGGGAAATTGAACCCAGGGCCTTACTGTGAGCCGGAGACTATTTATCTGTACCCAAACCAGAACAGTGGGTTTTGAAACTTGGATGTTTCTGTCTCACAAATTTTAAAAAAAAGTATAGATTTAATTTGTACCTTTCTTGTGAGTGAAGCTGAGATTTTTTTCCTTCCCACTCTCCAGTACTGGGGATTGAACTTAGGGCCTTCTCACTGAGTACATTCCCAACTCTTGTTTATTTTTATTTTTTAAAAATTTTAACAGTCTTGCTAAGTTGCCCAGTTTGGGCCAAATTTACAACTCCCTGCCTCAGGCTCCCAAGTGGTAGGATAACAGGTGTGTGCTGCCATCTCTGGTTTAAAAATGTATTTAAGAATCACTTTGCATTCCTTTTTCAATAACTTTATTCCTTTGCTCAGTTATTAGCCTTTTCTTATTCCTGGCTGAGAGCCAGCTTAAAGTTGTATTTAATGAGCTTAATTCAGATTGTGTCTAGAATGTTTTTTAGAAAATCTGTATTTCAAAGATCACATTTAACTTAAATAAAAAGATGGACAGCCGGGGATTTAGCTCAGAGGTTAGGTGGCTTGCCTTGCAAGCGCAAGGACCTGAATTCAATCCTCGGTACCAAAAAAAAAAAAAAAA